ACATCGTTTATAACAAGAAGACTGCGAAACCCCGTGGTTATGCCTTCATCGAGTATGAGCACGAGCGCGACATGCACTGTGAGTTCCGGCCCCTCCCCCTGCGGTCCCAGCTCCGCCCCCTGCATACTGTGGCCATGCTTCTCACCATATGTTTCTGTCTCAGCCGCCTATAAGCACGCCGACGGTAAGAAGATAGATGGGCGGAGGGTGCTGGTGGATGTGGAGAGGGGGCGCACTGTGAAGGGGTGGCGGCCTCGCCGGCTTGGTGAGTAGCAGCGCAGTTTTGCTCCGGTGACCCTACATGGTGCAGCATTGTTTTAATGAGCTGCTGTCTCTCAGGTGGTGGCCTAGGCGGCACGCGGCGGGGGGGGGCTGATGTCAACATCAAGCACTCTGGGCGAGACGATGCCTCACGCTACGACGAGAGACCGTTGGGAGGGTGAGTGTCTGTCTGCCCTGCCACAGGCCTACCCCCGTCTGGCTATCTGTCCCCCCCCCGTCCCCCTGCCCCCGTGTGTGACAGGTGTTCTCTGACAGCGACAGGACCGGTGAACGCCATGCCGACCGCAGCCGGGAGGGTGACAGAGACCGTGGCGGGCGGCGGTCGCGCTCAAGAGAGCGGCGGCGGCGGAGTCGCTCCCGGGACCGAGAGAGGGCCGAGCGGGGCGCCCCGGTGGTGGGCACAGGCCCAGGACCCGCTGCGGATGAGGGCGGGCCAGCTGGCAGGCGCAGGGAGAGGGGGGGCGCGGGGCACAGCTGGAACAGAGAGAGGAGGAGGAGCAGGAGCAGAGAGAGGAGGAGGGAGCGTGGCAAGGATGCCGACGGCCCAGCAGACAGGGAGGCAGAGGAAGGCGGCAGCGGCCCCACGGATGGGGACCGGGACCACAGTGAGCGCGACCGTGACCGTGACCGTGACCGCCGGCGAAGCCACAGAGACAGAGAGCGCGACAGGAGGAGGGGCGAGCGAGAACCCAAGAAGGAGCGGAGCGAGCGCGAGAGGAAGGCTGAGCGGCTGCTGCCCCATCTGGGGCAGGACGGGGGCAGTAACGGGGACTCGGGCTATGTGGCCCCCTCCAAGGAAGGAAGCCCAGGGGGTGGGATGGAGCAGGAGGTGCAGCTGACTGGGGAGAGCCACGTCACCAATGGTAGCGGCTACAGCGTGGAGGATCAAACTTACTAAGGGGTGCCAGTCTGCCTGCTTGTCGGCTGCCTGCCTCTCTAAACCTGCAGTGTATTTCCTCTTGGCCCCTTGCTGCCCCATCTCATGCACAGCCTGCCCAGTTACCTTCCTTAAAGGCCCAGTGACATGCTGTCCAGCCACCTGCTGCTGCTGCTGCACAGCAGGGTTTCATTGATGCAGTGTTTTTTTTTTTCTTTCTTTTTTTTTAATGGTTTGTTTTAAACGGTAATGGTGGTGCAGATGACTGTAACTTTGTTTGTGTTTTTTTTTTTTTTAATAGTGCAAGGCACAGTGAGTGCCTTTTGAGCGCTAGTGCTGTGGTATTGAGGGCCCGTTCCTCGCAGTGTTGCTTTTCTGTCCACCAGACGGCCTCTCACCTTCTCTTACTGCTTATCTGCTTCAGGCACACCCCCTTGTGGCTGCATGGGGCCAGAATGTTCTGTGCTCCCCAACTACACGCTTTGCTGGACCTTGGTCCCCTCCTGAGAGTGAACGGCGATGGTGGTTTTATTGTTGCTACTCCCTTGGTCATTTATTTCTTATGATATCTTCCCTTTTTATAATAAATTTTCTTCCTTTGACTACTTGGTCTCTGTGAGTTTTGTGTCAGTTTTCACATGTCTGGCTGGGAAACAACACGAACCGTTAATTTTAATGTCTTAACTTATTTCTTTGATCGCGTTAATGCATGCAATGTATTTTGATAACCAAATGAGAGGATAATATAAGCAAAGAATAGACACATAACTATTCCTAGTTATGAAAAACAAAACATGTAAGTTTAGCTCGTGCCATTGCACAGAATCCCGGAATTCACAGCTAAAGATCTCTCATGTTAAGTGTACTTTCAATGGTTATCAAGCTTCTATTTTTAGAGCCATTTGCAATATTCTGCTGAGATTAAATAGTTTTTTGATCTACCTGTGATTATATGGGCATGTGGTGTATGCAATTAATCGCTAAGGTGTGCAATTTAAACAAAAAGTAACATCCCTACTTCTAATGCAAAACCCCTTCTTTATTTGGCATTTTTGAAACCATTGAAATTCAGCATGAATTTGCTAGCATGTAGTATTTATGTTGGAAACGAATAATGTGTAGATTACAAGTTTAACGTGAACCATTAAGCAAATATCAAAGTATGGATCATTCTCACGAACATAAACATTTTTGGGGAAATAAATGATACAGTGAAATAGTGTTCATTTTTTTGTGTAGATCAATTGATGTGACCTTTTAGATTTATTAAAATTATTTGTTGCTCTGATTTGATGTTTTAACCATTTCCCTCCAAAAGGTAGCCAAAAATCAAACAACACAAACTAAACAAAATGTTTTAAAATGTTTCATCTTTATTGCAAGTAACCCACAATAAACAATTTCTTTGTTCTGATTGCTATTTTTGTTAGGTTTAGTTTCAGTAGCTCTAGCCCTGAATTTGATAAAAAGAAACTTTTATTACATAAAAAAAATGTTAAAATAAAACTGATTAACTACCTCAGAGGTAAAATTGACAATTTAGACAATGAAGTTATATAATTTGAGTCTGTCTTCAAACTAATTTTAAAACTTAGAGAAAATTGATTTTTAACGATAATGAGTTTATGAATTAACACACATTTATATTAATTCTACATTAATTTGGGGATAATGTATTCATGTATAAATGTATAAATATTAATGCTTATATGTTTTAATGTTAGGTGTGAATAGTCACAGAAAATTGTGTGATTAATTAGTTATTTATTTCACTTAATTTTTTTAATTTTATAGATCCTACAGGGATATTCTGTAGACTCCACCCTCTTAAATGATTGAGGTTCCATCCTGCAGATGGAGGAATTGGTCATAGTATTTATTTATACACTCTCAGCTCTGTGCATACAAATGCAGGCAGAGTAATTGTATAGCTGCTTTTCAGTGTGCGCGCGCGTGTGTGTCTCCAGTTCCTTTGTCGACACGTCAATACGACCAGAAGAATCGTTCACCAGAAGACGCCAGTGTGATTTTAACGCCAGGGGTCGTTCTTTTGTAGGTCTTCCCCCCAATTTCTCTTTCTGACTCCTTTGCATGCCTTTGGCATCTCATTCAATTGAAATGCTCAAAACGACGTTAACAACCGTTTTTTCAGACAGAAAACCAATCAGGGCCAGGCTAATTTCAGTGTTTCCTTACAGTGGCATACCTGCTAAGTACTAAGCATTTCACATTTTTCTGGCCCAGAATGAATTAGACCCTCAAATTCAATAGAAAATGTGGCTTCTTACTAACTTGAAATACTCAAAATGCCATGTTTCATGTTTTTCAGGTATAAAACCAATATGGGCCAGGCTGCTTTCATTGTTTCCTTACATGGACATACCTGCTATGTACTATGCATTTCACATTCACCCAAGATGAGTAAGAATACTGATCCCAATTGGAAATCTGGCTTCTTATTCAAATAAATGTGTACAATTGCTCACTATGTCATGTTGCCAGTTTACCGTCACGAAAGAAAAAACACATTATGCCTGGGTAACCCGAGAATTAGCAATACAGGGAGATTTGTGAAATGCACGTACGAAATAAATAAACGCGTTACATCTTAAACGTTTAATTCATACGTTATTTTGTATTTTCAAAATGTCTTAATTATAAACTGTGCAGCAGGTGCTGCGCCGCTTTCCGCGCCGCAAACACCGTACTACCCTCGATGAAAGCTGCGAATAACAAGCTAACTTAAGCCTCGTCTTATTCGTGGGCTTAAGGGGTGATACTATGTAGGCTACAGTGATAGATAAAAAAACCCTTCGGCAAAGCATCTCTCTAAGGTCATTTGCTCACTGGCACAACGTAGCAGGGACATCGCTATCGAATATTGATTCGACATCCCCCGATGTCTGCGCGATGTATTTCAACATCAACACCATGTTAATGAGATTACTCTGCGACGTTTAGCCTGCTGCTGTTTTTCCCGATTAGGCAATAAAACCCACAATAGGGTTATACTCTGTATATTTATACACCGTAGTGTACATTTGTATAACCATATACCAGTCAAACAATGTAACTGAATATTATTTTCAATATTGACAACGTGACAGAACCAATAGCAGTCAGGGGCAGCGTGTGGCTCAGTGGGCTAAGCTTGTTTGCTTTTGATCTGATGGTTGCCAGTTCAACCCCCCCAGTACTTTTGCAGGTCCTTGAGCGTGGCCTTCAATGACTGCCCCCCAGCTCCCTCACAATTATTATGTCATAATAGGCTCTCTGCCACTTACCTGGAGTAGGGTTGCAGGGACAGCAGTCTAAGCAGGGATACCCAGACCTCCCTCTCGCCAACAGCATTCTCCAGTTCCACTGGGGGAATACCAAGGCGTTCCCAGGCCAGCTGATAGATATAATCTCTCCAGCATGTTCTGGGTCTCTCCCATTTAGACGTGCCTGAAACGCATCCCTGGCATCCAGAAGGCATCCTAGATTGGAATCTGAGAGGTAACCAGCACTCATGAACACCCCTGCCGACACTGCACCGGTCTGTCTGTCGATCTCCTGCTCCCTCCTTCCCTCACTTGTGGACAAAACCCCAAGATACTAAAACTCCTTTGCTTTAGGCAGCATCTCATCCCCACCAGAAAAGGGCAATCCAGCCTTTTCCAGTCAAGAACCATGACCTCAGACTTAGAAGTGCTGATCCTCATCCCCCCATGTACTCCTGAAGCACCCCCCACAGAAACCCCCAGGAGACACGATTGTATGCCTGGTTGGGTAACCTCCCATGAACCCTCTAGTATCATTGCAAGGGTGAAGAGCTGGTCCAGCAATTTGCGACCAGGACGGACTCCATATTGTTCCTTCTAGATCTGAGGTTCAACCAACAAGAGGACCCTTCTCTCCAGTACCCTGGCATAGACCTTCTTATGGAGGTTGAGAAGTGTGATCCACCTGAAATTGGACCACACCCTCTGGTCCCCTTTCTTAAAGTTTGGGACCACTCCAGTTTTCCATTCCAAAGGCACTGAAATTTTTGACTACTTCAGTGACCTCAGTCCTAGAGATGGGTTAGTCCCCCTAAGAGTATTTCAGATATACTTCCTCCAAGGAAGTCATATCATTAGAATTCAGGAGGCCATTGAACTGCAGCCTAGGGTTCTCTGGTGCCAGGTGCACTTATGAACACCCCTATGTTCAAACATGGTGTTTGTAGAGGAGGTGGGTCCAAGCAACTTGGGGGGAGGTGACCTAGACATCTGATTAGTTTGTCCTACTTCCTCTACAATCTGATTGGTTATCTCGCTAAACGAATCAGTAAGTAAATTCCCACCAGCATAACAAACACGATGTTCGAACATTGGGGTGTTCATAAGTGCACCTGGCACCAGAGCACCCTAGTTGAGCATTCATTATGGATAAATTGTTATTAGCACAGAAGTTCAACAACTGGTTACCTCTCGGATTCCAACGGGGCAGGCCATTCCTCCCAGTCATTCTTTTCCAGGTTTCACTGTCATTAGCCATGTGATCGTTAATGTCCCCCAGCTAAGGCTCCTTTCTCATCAGAGAGGTTACTTTCTGTGTACCAAGAGTCAGACTTGATAGCTGATGATTGGTCTGATGAGGCCCCTGCCTTCAATTGCCACCCAATCTACATTGCACCTAACACCCACGGTTTCCCTTGCAGGTGGTGAGCCTACAGGAGGGCGACCCATGTTATCCCCTTGGGCTGTGCCTAGCCAGCCCCCTTGGACACTCACCTTCCCCCCCACCGCAGGCCTGGCTTGATGGTGAGACCCCGGTCTCCTCAATCTAGGTGGGGTAACATGGTCTATCTATTATTTATTATTTATCATGGTGGTTTTTCTCAATCACACTTAGTTGGGCCACTCACCTAGGACCAGTTTGCTTTGGGGGACCCCACCAGGGGCAACTGCCCCTACCAGCGTAGCTCCTAGGATAATAGAGGCACACAAATCCCTCCACCATGATAAAGTGGTGATTCATGGAGGAGGCCTAACCGTTACGTTACAAGCATACTTATTGAACTAATTTGCTTGCCAAAAAAGACAATAGTGTGCATAATCATTTAAATATTGTTTATAGGACGATAAGGAATTTAATGACATTCCAATCTTAAACCAATGTCCTGGCGATGTATGTGTGATGTCTGGGTATGTAGGCCTATGCATTAATAAGAGAACTGAAGTAACACAAAAGTTACTTTCCCTAGTAGTTAATTACTTGTATATGCAGAAATTGGTAAAGTAATTGAATTGAATTGAATGAAGTAACTAGTAACTTGCACAACATTGATGATTACTTGATCAGTTTTCACTGTCAGGGTTTTGTATGGTACAGCCAATCACAATGTGCGCCTGCAACTGAACGAATCACAACATGGGGTGTGTTTTGCATGAACTAGGTAGCAATTGCATACATGCCACATTTGCCAATGTTGCCATAGCGATGCTGGATACCAAATGTTAATTATTCTGTGACATTCGTTCTGCTCCTTTTGCTCTTTTGAATATATTGGAAACATATTTTATGTGGCGCCTTTAGTTTCATTTCACTTCAGGATGCGATGTCCCCACCGCAGCTGCAAGCCCCCCAACCTGCTTCCCACCACCGCCACTTCATGTCCATCCCCAGCCGGGACTTCAACCTCCTTATTACCTAATAAGGTGTCATTTAGAGACTGCGGTAATTACACAAGAAACTTGCAAATCCAGAGTCTGCTTTTCTTATATCTAATGCAGGTTTCTTTGGTCTTGATGTGGGATAAGCACATGCCCCGTGACTCAGTATCTTATAAGCCCACCTGCTGCACACTGATTTGAGATCAGCTGCTGGGAGCATACTCTGCCTGTGATGTCGGCTCTCTTATCCAGCAGAGGGACAGTTGCTCTGTGAAGACATTGCCTGAGCTGTACAGTGAGAGGCAGAATACAGAATACAGGAATTCCAGGGAGGGTCACTGCTGAGACATGGAATCGCACTGCCACTGAGGCGAGGGGCTAGGGGCTCCTGCACCCTCATTTTTTTAAAGAGGAGACTCATTTCATTCTCTGATCATTACCACCAAGCACAATATAGACAGCAGGAGGGAAATCAGACGTCCACCATAAAAGTTCCTTGTCGCATCGCGCAGCAAGCTGATTACAGGTGTTTTAGCAGGTATTTGCCACCAGGGGGCAGCATTGTAATAAAGTGTTCTGTGTGCTATCTCACAACAGGACATTGCTCATTCCAAACCAAGCAGCAGAACAGGGTAATGAGACATCACAGCCGTGTGCCAATCCTTTCAAGAAGCAGATGCATATATTGACTCCCAGTGAGCCACTGCTGTATGACAGCACGCTCCATTTTGTATCCATGTTCCACCGGAAAGCAGCACTGGAGTGTGGGGCACATGTTTGTTCACAAGGGGACCATTGTGTAAATCTCAGCTTAACCACTTACCAGAGCTGTACTGAAATGTATCTTACCTGTATTGTTTTCTCTATGTCTTTACTAGTACGCCGTTTCATTTATGGGGACCACAGATCTGATAGTACCTTCCCTGCCACAAGGTCTGAGTTCTCCCCTCCCATTGGTCTTGCTGTGGCAGGCATTGACCGCAGCCAATGACACACAAAGGATGGAAAGCCCCGCCCACCGTGTCTTGTCATTTTTGGCAGCTCCAGCCCACCAATGCCTTTGCTACAGGGGAGAGACAGTTATGGCATTCCTGCCCTGGAACCTGCTGAATACAGGCAGAACAGGGTGCTGCTACTGTGGCTTTGGGAGTGATGGCTTCATGCGGTACCTTGGAGATTCAGCACAAACAGCTACACTGACCCTGAGATGAACTCCTGTCAACAAAAGCTTTTATGGAGATTAGGTAGATTGATCGATCTTTGCGTACTTTATTGATCCTGAGGGGAAATTTGATTGCGTGCACAGATACAAACACATAGTACAAGAAACGTCAGACAAATTGTCAGACAATACAGTACAACACAACACAAACTGAAAAGGCCTTTGTGACATTATGGGTATTGGCTGTGACACCACAGAGGACCAGGGACACATTGGAACTGTTTAATACACAGGTTATGGGACTGACAGCACAATGGCTGAATTCATCAGCATGCGGGGACTCTGACCTGGACACTGTGAAGGAATGGACAGGGAACTCGGGGGGCACAGAGGCCCTGAGGAGGGCATCATCAGGCTGACTGGACTTTGAATCCCCCTGGATCCCTCCTTCCCCTCTGCTGTCCTCTCGCACCTGCGCCGTGCTCTTTCCGCTGCCCTCCCTCCGGCAGTTAGTGGGAAGCTGGAGGGGGTGGGGGCAAATACAGGAAATGTAAATATATAAGGTACGGCACAACGTATTTCTTAATGGTAGTAAATGCAGGTACGGTCACTGCTGAATGACATGTTCACGCTGTTTTGGTATAAAACTACAAGTCAGAGGCGCCTTCATGGCACACCCACCGTGAACACGTGACATGGCACAGCGTTACCGCAGCTACTGCACCAGCTCAATGACTCTGGGGGGAGGGGGTGCAATGCCGGGATTTCACCAGGGTTTTATATATATATATATATATATATATATATATATATATATATATAATGTTACAATGTCACATGAGATATCACATAACTATTAGCTGTGGGTTATGTCCTCTGGGTGTCAGCGGGGGACTGCAGTCGCCACAGAGCACCGGTGCTGTCTTTACGCTTTTCATTTATTTAGTTTTAGTTCGGAGCTGGTTCTAGTGGGGAATAATCATATTTTGGCGTAGGCTTATCATTCCTAAGCTATGAAGCCCAAAACTGACCGCGACGATGCCCATGCAGACAGACCGATCAGAGTTCATATGGAAACGGGGCGGGAATCAATTAAGCACGGAGTCATTGATTATAAAGGCGAAAAGACCCACATTGCTTTCCCCCTATTTTTATTCCTACCATATCGATCACGGCTATTTTTATCAGTTATGCTTGCAATCGCACAAGTGAAATGGATAATTTCAAGAACACATCACACGCATAGGTGTTTCCTATACAGTACGTGTGTATACCATATGATGGAACATGTGTCAACAGCACACACGATTACACATTGTAGGTCACTGCTGCCGTATCGGCGGCTGAAAATGAGTCAGAGTGCGGGGTGGGGTGGGGTTGGACGGGGGAGACACCTTCTCCTTCACACAGATCAGCAGACCGCACTCCGCCACACCGTGAATCGACAGACAGCTGAGGGATCCCAGTATAAATCAGGAAAGCGCGGCGTGGGAATCCCAGTCAAACCAGGAACCGGCAGCAAGGGAATCCCAGTTTAAAAACGGAGGAGTCGCGAAGCAGGACGTGTAGTTTGTGCACGAAAACATATAAAGACACCCAAGAGGTTTGGGAAGCGCAGACACCGCACCGGCGGCTGGAGCGCCGTGAATCGTAAGACAGCAAGGGCGACCGTCATCTGAACCGCAGGAAAAACTAGCAACTGGGAGAAAAGCAAGAGCCGCTGCGTTTTAAGAAGAAAAGGTGCAAAACTTGGAGAAAAAAAAAAACGTGCGTGTCGGTAGCTGGTGAAGGGTGGGGGGCTCCTAGTTCGTCCAGGGTAACGCTGGAGGGGGCGTACATAGAAAGAGACCGGAGGCAGTCAATTTAAAGACAAAAGAACGATGGCAGCGATGGAGGTTTAGAAGTGGCAGAGGGGGTTAATGTTAAAAATGTGCCTATGTTGTTAAACCAGGCACGGCCGCTGAATTACACAGAAGGAAAGGAGCAATATAACGCATATAGTGGACTATGAGCACAGTACGGTTATTGAAATATTAAAATATTATTGCCGGTGATAGTAAAATCAAAAACAGAGAATATCCGTTATTGACTTCAGGTGACAAGAGTTCCGAAGATAAAAGAGGGACTATAGTCTGGTTATAGAAACCAACAATCAGCACTGTGCTAGTGTGTTGATGTGTGTGTCCTTGTACACACACACTGTACCCACACTCAGCCCGACACAAGGCAAGTAAGTATTCAGATAGGTGTGTGTGCACGCTTTGTGTAGTAGGTGTCTTGTGATTAGGTGGCAAAAAACAAGAATACTTGTGTTTGTGTTGCTGTCTGTACAGATATATTTGCAGGAATAGGTCCACATCAGTTTAAGCCAGTCAGCGAGTGCTGAGCCGAGTACGGCATGGTGCGGGATTCAGGCTCGCGGTGCGGTTGGACGGTGATGATGGTGACAGATGGGGGGTGGGCAAGGAGTGGCGAGAGGGAGCGCGACGGGCGGGCGGGACGCTTTACATGTGAGGGGAGGATAGAGGGAGAGAGCGACGCCGTCTGCCTATCTGTCTCTCTTTGATCCGTCGCTCTGTCTCTCCACCTTTTCCTTTGTCTGTTTGCATTCCCTTGTGTATCTCTAACTCCTCTTTCTCTCACGAATCTCTGCCTCTAGGTTTTTGTAGAAAGAAGCACCATAGAAATGACACCCCCACTTTTAGGAGGACAAACTGCCCCAGATTTCCACTTTCTGACACTGAATGATGTCAGAGTTGGTAATGAAGTTAAAGTTTTCAGCATCGGCTCCTTGCTGCTCGCTGACAATATACCTTTAACAGAACCAGTATCTCCATCCATTCATCCATCCATCCACCCATCCATCTTGTTATGGCCTACCCAAGTCAGGGTCATGGGGGCAGCCCAGGCAGGATGCCAGTATGTTGCTCATTCCCTTTTAAAGTGAATCAGTTGTTTTCTCACCCTCTCCCGCTGCCTCTGTTTCAAACTGCGGCTGCTGCCAGTCCTGTGGACCGCACTGCCTTTGGACATGCTCCCTTCCGGCTGTCCACCTTCGTTTTCTGCCTTTCCTTCTTTCATTGCAACTTACTGTCTGGTCACCCTCACTTCCTGCCTGCATCCCCGTGCCTTTCCGGTCCTGATGTTGTCTGTCGCTCGCTTCCCCATAATTCTCCTTCTCCTGTGTCTCCCCTTCATGCTCTTACTTGGGGCACTGCCCCCGCCTGCCCTCCACCTCCCTGCCTGCCCTCCGCCTCCGCGCCTGCACTCCCCACCTGCCCCGTGTCTCCCCCTAACTTCTCACATTATGTGACTGGGTTAACACAGTTATTGCCTATTCTTTCTTTTGTTCTTTCTTTCTCTTTCTCTCTCTTTCTGTATTCCCTCTGCACTTAACAGGAGACTATAAAGAGATGGTAATTAACCAGAAAGGGCACTTTTATAAATTGGAATTTAACAGGAGAGACAGGAACCAGGGGGAGCTGTGGATGGGTGAAGCTATCTTAAGAAGCGGAAATGGCCGTCCCAGTCCCAGCAGCCTGCTGGTTCCACGCTGCCTTCCTTTCCTTTAGCCTCGTTCGCGTTTGCTCTTCGTGTTAATTTCTTCTGGTTCCCTCAGGCCCTGATCACATGACACATGCAAGTATGTGTCTGACGTCGTGTGTTTTTCCTGTGGACGATGGAGGTCCGGCGGCATGTGGGGGCCCTGCAGTGAGACAGTGCGATGTGGTTTATGCAGTGCGTATGTCGTGCAGCACCACGCACAAGCCAGCGGTGCGTGAGGGACACCCAAATTAGAAAATTAAGAGGCTGAATCAGCACGAGGAAGGGTCGGCCAGATGGACTGGCACAGATGGACACAGGAGCTCGGCCATGCTGAAGGGAGGGGCACACTGCAGCGTTTCAGGTGTCTGCAGTACCGGGTGTGGTCTCTAGGTGTCTCCATAGCACCACAATGAGAGTGAGTGTGCTGCACTGGGCTGGCCAGTGAGCATGGCGAACAGGCAGGCCAGCTGCAGTGTGAAGGACATGCTGTGTGTCTTGTCTTTTTTTACCCTCTGTACCCTCATCACATGCTGTCATTTGCTGCTCCTTCTTCTGTTGTCAGGCCATCTTTCACTTTCTCGATGCTCTCCCTCTGTTAATAGCCCCCATTCCACAATTACCCTGTTTTATGTTCATATAGAATGTTTTAATACCCTGTGTACCCTGTCTCACCCCCAAACACCCCATACAGCTGTTTCTCCCTCATATGCTGTGTCTCCCACCGTTTGCTATGTCTCCCCTCATATGCTGTGTTTCCCCATATGCTGTGTCTCCCCCCATACGCTGTGTCTCCCCGACTTATGCTGTGCCCCCCCCCCATACGCTTTATCTCTCCCCTTATGCTGTGTCTTCCCCTGTATGCTGTGTCTCCCCCCCATAGGATGTGTCTCTCCCATATGCTGTGCTTTCCTCTTTACACTGTCTTGCCCCATACACTGTGTCTCCCCCGTATGCTGTGTCTCCCTCATACACTGTATCTCCCTGTATGCTGTCTCCTCCCTATGCTGTGTCTCTCCCCCATACGCTGTATCTCTCCTCATAGGCTGTGTCTGTCGCATATGCAATATCTCCCCCCATAAACTGTGTCTCCCTCATATGCTGTGTCTCCCTCATATGCTGTGTTTTCCACTTTACACTATCTTGCCCCATACACTGTGTCTCCCCCGTATGCTGTGTCTCCCTCATACACTGTATCTCCCTGTATGCTGTCTCCTCCCATACACTGTCTTCTCCCTATGCTGTGTCTCCCCCCATACGCTGTGTCTTCCCTGTACTCTGTGTCACCCCAAAACTCTGTATCTTTCCTGGATGCTGTGTCTCCCCTAAATTTTGTGTCTCCACCCATACGCTCTGTTTCTCCCAATAGGCTGTGTCTCGCTGTCTTCCCCATACACTGTGTCACCCCAATGCTCTGTGTCTCTCCTCTATGCTGTGTCTCCCTCATATGCTGTGTCACCCCCGTATGTTGTGTCTCCCCCCACTTGCTTGGTCTCCCCTGTAGGTTCTGTCACCCCCGTATGCTGTGTCTCCCTCCGTATGCTGTGTCGCTCCCATATGCCATGTCTCCCCAACATGCTGTGTCTCCCCTGTATTCTGTGTCTCCCCCCGTGTGCTGTTTCCCCCTAAAGGCTGTGTTTCTCCCATATGCCATGTCTCCCCAAACACTATGTCTCCCTCGTATGCTGTGTTTTCCTCTTTACACTCTCTCGCCCCATACTCTGTGTCTCCCCATATGCTGTGTCTCCTCCCATACACTGTCTCCCCCATACTCTGTGTCTCCACCATATGCTGTGTCTTGCTGCGTTTTCCCAATACACTGTGTCTCCCCCATATGCTGTGTCTCCCTTGTTTGCTGTTTCTCTCCTCATATACTGTGTCTCCCCCCTATGCTGTGTCTCCCCCCATATGCTGTGTCTCCCCTTATACTGTTCCCCCCCATGCTGTGTCTCCCGCTGTATGCTGTGTCTCCCCCTTACTTTGTTTCTCCCCCTGTTCCCTGTGTCTCCCCCTTACACTGTATCTCCCCCATACGCTGTGTCTCCCCTATATACTGTGTCTCCCCTGTTTGCTGTTTCTCTCCTCATATACTGTGTCTCCCACCTATGCTGTGTCTCCCCCCATATGCTGTGTCTCCCCTCTATGCTGTGTCTCCCCCCATATGCTGTGTCTCCCCCCGTATGCTGTGTCTCCCCCTGTATGCTGTGTCTCCCCCCGTATGCTGTGTCTCCCCCCGTATGCTGTGTCTCCCCTTATACTGTTCCCCCCCATGCTGTGTCTCCCGCTGTATGCTGTCTCCCCCGTACTTTGTTTCTCCCCCTGTTCCCCGTGTCTCCCCCTTGCTCTGTTTCTCCCCTTGTATGCTGTGTCTTCTCCTATATGCTGCCCCCCCAATACTCTGTGTTTACTCCCTCATGTTGTACCCTCTGAACTGAGCTCTCCTCATGCCCTAACTAGTTCTCCCCACTGTTCTTCCCCTATTCCTGTCATTTTCTGCCTCCTTCCTCACAGTCCTGTCATCTTTCCTAACACCTCCTCCTTTGATTCCTTCCTCCTGCTCAGTCATTCCTCCTCTAGCTCTCTCTCTCTCACACACACACACACACACACACACACACGCAAAATCAGGGAATCAGTGAAGCTTTTTTTCTTTACTGCCAACTGCTAAAGCCTTTTCTGCTCAGTCAGCAAACCTCCCAATTTATTGCTGTCCCCTCCCATGTCGTCTTTTACTTCAGCATCATTTCCTCTAATAATCCCACCCCCCTGCCCCTGGTGCATAGCCAATGCTAATGCTAATAGAGTGGCATGCATGAGATTTCTTCCATCAGTTTAATCTCATGGCTTCATCCTCCCTTACTGTCTCCGAGAGTGTGTGTGTGTGTGTGTGTGTGAGAGAGAGAGAGAGCCTTCACTGTACACTTCCTGTCCTTTCCCAGTTCCTCTTTATTTCCCCTGTCCTCTCTTCCCTCCCTCTTTCTACCATCAGTCTTTTCAGCTAACAGGACAGTGATGGATGCATATTCATGGAGCTTCAGAAATGGTTTACTGATACTGAGCACAAATTAATTCTTCAATAAAATTTTTAAAATATGTATTTTTACAGGTAAATAGTATTGAATAAAAATAATTGAGTATAGTATAATAAAGATGCATAGATGACTAGTCAGTATATGGGAAGGGGTTGACATTGACTAAATTCTGTAGCCTAGAATTTCTCCTGTGAAGAAGAGGTTACATATACTGATCAACCTGCAAGCTTAATTTAAGTGTTCATCCCAGCACTTACAATGAAGTGCTATTAATTTAACTATGTACCCAACACTAACACTGCATAATTGTGCATCTAAGTGTATATCCTAACACTAACATTACACTACTGTCCATTTGACAGTGATGCAGTGGTAGTGCTGGGATACACACTTATGGCTCATTTCCACTGCCTCCAAGAACCAAGCCATACCTAAGCCATACTGTGAAGAGTTTTCCATAGTAAATTATTCGAGGCATACCTGAGCTGGTAGGCCCTGCTTACCAGCAGGACCGAGAGTGTGACTAACCTGTACTGGTTATGTCACCACCATTTGATTGGTTGAATTGCAAGGAGATAGCAGTGATCTCCATCGATATGGATTTGGATTAGCTGAAGGAACAAATGGCATATTATTTATATATTATTCATTATTAGTAGTATTGCACTTCACGATATATTGATGCATTCCTGATAACTCGGAACTTGAAAATTTCTAACCTCCTCTTTAGTTTAATGTCACTGTAACTCTCCAAACCCAGCAATGCCTTTACTAAGCTGACTTTCTGCTGTAGAAAATCAAAACGAACTGTAACGGTGCTGTAATTAGTGTCTGTTTAGGGTACGGGTTGGGTACAGCCAGGTTCCAGTATGCAAGCAGTAATGCGCATAGTGATGCAGTGATAGTGCTGCGATATGCACTTAAATGTGCAGTGATGCAGTGATAGTGCTGTGATACGCACTTAAATGTGCAGTGATGCAGTGATAGTGCTGGGAAACACACTTAAACGCACAGCAATGCAGTGTTAGTGCAGGGATTCACACTTATATGAACAGTGATGCCTTGTTTTTGCTGGGATACACACTAAAATGCACAGTGATGCTGAGAAACACACTTAAATACACAGTGATGTAGTGTTAATGCTGAAATACAGAATTTAATTAACAGGGATGCAATGCAGGTGCTGCGATGCACACTTAAATGGCAAACGATACTGTTTTTGTGCTGGGACATAAACTTAAATGAACATCAATGCAGTATTACTGAAGGGATACATACCTAAATGAACAGAGATGCCATGTTTGTGCTGGGATACACACTGAAATGGACAGCAATGCAGTGATACTGCTGGCATACACACTGAAATGAACAACAATGCAGCATTAATGCTGGGATACACACTTAAATACACAATGATGCATTCTTAGTGCTGAAATCTACATTTAAATGAACAGTGATGCAGTGTTCATGCCGGTAAACACACTTAAATGCACTGTGATGCAGTATTACTGCTGGGATGCACACGTAAATGAATAACGATGCAGTGTTAGTGCTGGGATACACACTTAAATTAATAGTCATACAGTGCAATTGCTGGGATACTCGCATAAATACACAGTGATGCAGTGTTAATGCTGCGATACGTACTTAAACAACAATGCCGTTTTAGAGCTGGGATACACACTTAAATCAACAGTGATGTAGTAGTACTGCTGGGATACACTTAAATGAACAACAATGGAGTGTTAGTGCTAGGATGGACACCTAAATTAACAGTGATGCAGTGTTTGTGCTGGGAATCACACTTAAATGAATAATGATGCATACATACTTATATGCGCAGCAGTACAGTGTTAGTGCTGGGATACACACTTAAATACACAGTGCTGCAGTGTTAGTGCTGAGACACACTCTTAAATACACAGTGATGCAGTGTGAATGCTGGAATACACACTTTAATGGGCAGCAGTACAGTGTTAGTGCTGGGATGCTCAATTGAATAGTGATGCAGTATGTCTTTCTATGGTCTCATCCTATTTGTTCTTTTTTTTTGTTCCATTCTTCTCATCTCCTTTTGTTTTTTTAACCTCAAGCTGTGTTTAAGGTGCATTAATGTTTTGAGATGCAACAACGTAAATGGTTGCTCTTCCCACCTTGAGGTCAGCTCTGCGCCCCAGCATGCATGAAAGTATCAGTCAGTGTGTGTGCAGGCAGCGCAGCAGAGCGGGTCAGTCGGTGTGCATGCAGGCAGCGCAGGAGAGTGGGTCAGTGTGCGTGCATGCAGAGCGCAGCAGAGCGGGTCAGTTGGTGTGCATGCAGAGCGCAGCAGAGCGGGTCAGTCGGTGTGCATGCAGGCAGTGCAGCAGAGCAGGTCAGTGAGTGTGTGTGCAGGCAGTGCAGCAGAGCAGGTCAGTGAGTGTGTGTGCAGGCAGTGCAGCAGAGCAGGTCAGTGAGTGTGTGTGCAGGCAGTGCAGCATAGTGAGCACGCTGTCCGTGGTGCTGAATTCTGCACGACCTGCTTTACCCCAGCACCCCTGGGGGTGTCTCCCTGCTCTCCATCTGTATAAAGAAGCTGAAAATGCTGCCCTTTTGCTGCATCTCATGTCCGGATCTTGTATTTCTTTCAATGTCCTCACCTTTTCTGTATCAGCTCCCTTTCCTTCTCAAGCAACTTTCTTGTTCTCACACTTGAGACCACCCCCCACTCAGAGCTAGACAGTACTTTGCCCCCCCCCCCCCCCCCAACACGCTGATTAAGGCTGAATACACTGAACATCCAATCAGCAAGCACACACACCGCAGTAGACTCACCTTCTGCAGAGTGTGTGTCACCTGGGTCAGCATCCAGGACCGCTGGCCTCTTCCTCTGCATTACGGAGCATCCTTGTGTCCGTCCTCTGTGTTCTGTGAGGAAAGCGAGGAGCAGGACACGGCAGTTGTGGGACACAGCCAGAGCGGAGAGTTTACCACACTGGACAGCAGAGCGGGAACAGAGGGCAAAGACGGATGTTAGACAGGACGATGTAACACAGACATAAAGAAAAGAAAGAAGGATGCATATAGAGATGGAGAGATCAGCCTCACCCACAATGAAAAAAGGTGCTGGGGAAGAGGAAGGGAGAGGAGAAGGTGGAGAGTAAGCAGGTCGGCAGAAAGTACAGAAAAGCAGAGCAAGGAAAAATGTATGTGTGCGTATGTGTGTGTGTGTGAGAGAGAGAGAGAGAGAGAGAGAGATGAAGGGAGGGAGGGAGTGGAGAGGGTCGAGGGAGGGAGGGAGAGAGGGAGAGAGAGTGCTGATTCGTTCAGTGAAACCTGATCCTGTTATGCGGTACATGGGGGTGTAACTGTGAATGGGGCAAACAGAAGAAGCTTAAGAGCAGGCGGGCAGGTGGGCAAACAGGCAGGCAAGCGGGCAGTCAAGTGGGCAGACAGGCGGACAAGTGGACAGGCAGGGGGCAAGTGGGCAGGCAGGTGGGCAAACGAGCAGGAGGGCAGGGAGGGGGTTAGGCGAGCAGGCAAGCAAGTGGGCAGGCAGGCGGGCAAGTGGGCAAGTGGGTAGGCAAGCAAACAGGCATACGGGCAAGTGGGCAAGCAGGCAGGTGGGTGGGCAAATGAGCAGGCAGGCAAGCAAGCAGCTGGCAAGTAGGCAGGCAGGTGGACAAGCAGGCAGGAGGGCAAACGAGCATGCAGGTGAGCATGCAGGGAGATGGGCAAGCGGGCAGGCAAGTGGGCAGGCAGGTGGGCAAGTGGGTATGCAGGTGAGCGAGTAAGTATACAGGCAGGCGGGTAAGCTGGTGGGTGGGCATGCATGCAGGCAGGTAAGCGGGCAGTCAGGTGGGCAAGTGGGCAGGCAGTTGGGTGGGTAGGCAGGTGAACAAGCAGGCAGGTGGGCAAGCAAGCAGGCATTCGGACAAGCAGGAAAGCAATCAAGCGGGTAGGAAGCAGGTAGGAGGGCAATTGGGCAGGCAGACAGGCAAGCAGGCAGGAGGGAAAGTGGACAGACAGGCTGGCACATGGGCAAGGGGGCAGGCGGGTGGGCAGGTAGGCAAGTAAGTGGGCAGGCGGGCAAATTGACTGGTGGGCAGTCGGACAGGTGGGCAGGCAAGCAAGCAGGCATACTAGGGGGGAGGCAGGCAGGCAGGCAAGCGGGTGAGCAGTTAGGCAAGCAAATGGACAGGCAGGCAGGCAAGGGGGTAGGCGGGTGCACAGCGTCTTGACTGACCGGCCCTTTAAAGCATTAAAACTCTGACTCTGCACTGCGAGGACAAAGAGAGAGCACTCCTGCTGCAGCAAAAACCATTCACCTTCCCAGGACATGCAGCCAGCTAATCAGCGTTAATGCACCCAGTGTTAATGTCCTCTATGTGCTCAGGACATATTTTCGGTGTTAATGTCCTCTATGTGTTCAGTACATACACTTTGTGTTATTGCCCTCTATATGCTCAAAACATACACTCTTTGTTAATACCCTCTTTGTGCTCAGGACATGTGCTCTGTGTTAATGACCTCTTTGTACTCAAGACGTACGCTCAGTTTAATGTCCTCTATGTGTGTTTAGTATATTCACTGTGTTAATATGCTCTTTGTGCAGTATATATACTCAGCATCTGTGTCCTCTATGTGTTCAGTACATATACTCAGTGGTAATGTCCTCTATGTGTTCAATAATACACTCTGTGTTGATGTTCTGTGTTCAGTACATACACTCAGTGTTAATGCACTCAATTTCTGTGTCCTCTGAGTGTTCAGTACATAAGCTCAGTATTAATTAACTGTGTTCACTTCAGTACATACATCCAATACATACATACGTCAGTGTCCTCTTTATGATCAGTACATACACTCTGTGTCAGTGTCCTCTGCATGTTCAATACACTGTGTCTTCACTCAGCATCAGTGTCCTCTGTGTGTTCAGTACCTACACTTTGTGTCTTTGTCTTCTGTATGCTCAGTATATACAATCTGTGTCAGTGTCCTCTGCATGTTCAATACACTGTCTTCACTCAGCATCAGTGTCCTCTGTGTGTTCAGTACCTACACTTTGTGTCTTTGTCTTCTGTATGCTCAGTATATACAATCTGTGTCAGTGTCCTCTGCATGTTCAATACACTGTCTTCACTCAGCATCAGTGTCCTCTGTGTGTTCAGTACCTACACTTTGTGTCTTTGTCTTCTGTATGCTCAGTATATACAATCTGTGTCAGTGTCCCTCTGCTTGTTTAGTACATACAATACATGCGCCCACCATCCATGTTCTCTGTGTGTTTAGTACATGCACTCTGTGTCCGTGTTCTCTCTGTGTTCAGTAGATACACTCTGTGTCACTCTCCTTTGTGTGTTCAGCACAGACACTCTGTATCAGTATTCTCTAGTTGTTCAGTATGTACACAGCATCAGTGCCCTCAGTGTGTTAAGTACATACATTTTGTGTCAGTGTCTTCTGTGTGTTCAGTATATGCATTGACTGTCCATGTCCTCTGTGTGTTCAGTACATACACTCTGTGTCAGTGTCCTCTGCGTGTTCAGTACACACTGTCAATGTGGGTCAGTGTTAATGGGCTATTCTTGGTCTGCTGCTGTGGTTACCAGTAAATATATATTAAGACAGCACTAAACAGGAGGAGGGAAAAAGAGTAAAATGCAAGGGAAGGTGGTGTAAGAAAGGGGAGGAGGCGGGGAGAGGAGGAGGGAGCGAGCAGAGCGGGGAGAAGCACCATCGCTCTGCAGTCTTACCTCCCCATTTTGTGGAGCTCAGCAAATAATGGTTCTGCTTGAGGTACTCGCTCTGTTTCTTTCTCTCCCAATGGATGAGCGAGGAGAGGGAGGAGAGCGAAAAGGGATAGGGGGGAGTAGGGGGTGGAGTGTAGCACAGCTCCGTCCATCTCCCTGTGGCCTCGCTGAAGTAAGCGACTGAGGCAATGACGAGCGCAGAGAGCGGCTATCCGTATCTGTCCGTCTGAAACAGCGCGAATACACTCTAGGAAGTTTCCTCACTCGGCACTCTGCAAATAATAAATGAAACGTCATTCGCTGTTGTTTCTTTCTAATCAACTTCAGATAATTATCATAAACGTTGCCCTAAGTCGTACTCTCACTATCTATGCAGTGATTATCAGAAGCCGCATAGTAATTGAGTATTAACCTTCTCCGGGTATCAGTACTCAGTACTGGTATTTGGGTGTTGACTGCGATAGTTTTTATGATACATACTTATGTGTGGATTTCAATTCTGTAATAACAAAGCTGTCTTCTTTTTTGACATAATTACCCATTTGGTATATTAATTTTACCTTATAATAAAGGCATAATATAATAAACTACAGAGCGGGACTATGGCTAAAGTGTACATGCAGTTATAATTGGGTTCATTGTAAACTTTGTCATAATATTAGAGCAGTGTCCGTCCCGTTGTACTCATTTCTCTCCCCCATCTCTCCCTCTCTCCGCAGACTCCACCCCCCACCTCCCTGCCTTCTCTCTCTCCTCCTCTCCCTCCCCCCGGTCCCCTATGCTCAGTTCAGTGTGTGTCTCCTCTTTCAAAGGGCGCAAGGGGGGGAACAAGTCGGCCAACAAAGCATGTTACAGTGCAGACATGACTTGCCCGTCAGACAGCGAGAAAATTGTGATAAACTGCGGGGGTGTGCGACACGAAACCTACCGCAGCACCCTGAAGACGCTGCCCGGTACCCGATTATCGTGGCTCACCGAGCCGGATGCGTACAGCAACTTTGACTATGACCCGAAATCCGACGAGTTTTTCTTTGATCGCCACCCTAACACCTTCGCCTTCATCCTCAACTATTATCGTACCGGGAAGCTGCACTGTCCCAGCGACGTATGCGGGCCGCTCTTCGAGGAGGAGCTGGCTTTCTGGGGCATCGACGAGACAGACGTGGAGGCGTGCTGCTGGATGAATTACCGGCAGCACCGGGACGCGGAGGAGGCGCTGGACAGCTTCGAGACCCCCGAGCCGGACCCTCCCGAAGACGACCCTGCATTGACGGGGGGCGCGGATGGAGACCTGAAGAGACTGTGCCTGCAGGAGGATGGCAGGAAAGCCAGCTGGTGGCGTGTATGGCAGCCGCGCATTTGGGCACTCTTTGAGGATCCCTATTCATCCAAATACGCTCGGGTGAGTCTCCATGAAGCTGTACCCCTTACTACTGACATTGATAATGACTTAAGACCGCGCATGGCTGAATGTGGGCATTGCAGACTTTTACCTTGTCACCCGTACTCGGCAAGTTTTACTCGGCTGAGGTTTTGTTACTGTTATTGTGACCTACGGTTGGTGTTGAATAACGTCCTGAATGGGTCACAATGAAAGGAAGTTTTTCCGCATCTTCGTAGTTTTAAAGAGCTGTCCTTTCTTATACATCCAGTTATCTAATGTGAACATGACGAGCAGCTTCGTTTGAGCCGTCTTAGCGTTCTCTTGTTTTTCTGTGTGTTCAGTCTAAACCGCCAGTGTGACACAGTTAATGACACCGTGCACATTCCTCTACGCATCCCCCACTTTCTGCCTGTTAGCGCCTGATCCTGCCCACTCGTCCCGTTGTCACTGCCTGGCTGCAGCTCCTTATTTTAGAGGATTTCCCAATTTCTGCATCTGTGGGTAGATGCAATGCGTTTAACCTTGCTATTCACTATTAAACCTTGCTCGGTTAGTTCCATTTTTATTGTTTTTTTTCTAAGGGAAGGGGTGTTTGTGTGAAACGGCGCCTTATTTGTTTCATATCCCGACAAGTCTGGTTATTACACCTGCAATCCAGCATCCATCTCCCTGCGGATGAGGCCGCTGTGAATGTGCCCCTTTCCAATGTCCTTTACACTTTCCCCGTCGCGCGCACCGCACGCAGCCCATCGGGTTAATATGTCTGACTAAGCACGCCGTTTCTAATCAACAAACATATACCCTGTGCTCTGTGTGTTCAGCGAAATTGCACGTTTTTCTGTGTATCAATTGCAGAGTTTGTCTTTCGGCGGCTCATCAAACGCAGTGTGCAAACAGACGACGGCTGGTGCGCGGTTAGGGTTTCCACACGCACTCACACACACACACACACATGCACGCACGCGCACACACACAGCTCCACCGCAGTCTTACATACACCATGCAATAAGAAATCAGGTCACAATAAGCTTCAGTATGTCTGCACTGATTAAGTGTTTAACATTATTTTGCTAAGCAGCCGTGTAAGCTGACGTTTTAATGTCACACTGCTCATTATACAGGATGTCAAGGGCAATTCCGCATGTTCCCGTCTAACTTTCTGGGTATCCCATCTCCATTCACGTATCTTTTTCTGCCCTTTCAGGTTAATCGAGGCTCTTTCGGGCAGTTTTCCAGCTTTCTGTGCAGTATAGGTCGGCATATGGGGTTTGACAAACGCTGTGATGCTGTCACTTCTGCCTGCACGTTTACCTTCTTCTTTCTTGTATAACAAACATTTTTCCTGATGGAGCCGCTATATGTCCGGGACACCGCTGACGTCGGAAGGAAGAGCCGCATTGCCTTTTATCATTTTAGCGGTACGGACGTGTTCAGGGTAATTAAATAAAACAGAGAAACGTGGAAGCGGAGCCAAGCCTGTCCGACTCGCTCCGGCAGAAAAGGAGACAGAAGGACGCCGCGACCCCGTCCCCTTCACTTATCCTATATATCATAGCAGTCGTTCCGCCGTTGAAGGCTTGAGGGATGCAACCTCCTCCCCCTCCGTCTGGCGTAGGGATGTTCCGTAATGGAGGGTCCAGGACCTCCGCATTTAGATTACATTTTCTAACATCGAAACCTTAAAGTTAATGAGTAGTACTTAAGGTTTGAGACGCAGAGACTGGGGAGAGCTGTATGTGCAGCTCTGCCGATAGCTCAGTACACGGACAGTGCGAAGATTCAGTGCTGTACCGATGGCATATCGCAGCTTTCTAAAAGGCGGATTATAGATCTGCGCTACTAATGACGTAAGTCTCTGTGCAGAGCATTTTAATAAGATGCAGGGCCGGCGTCGCTCCGTACGAATCGTCCTCATCGCGGATTTCATGCGTTCAGCAGGTCCTGCGGTATGATGCGTGTGCCGGCGGCCGGCGCGGTGGGAAGCAGCCTCCGCCGCCCGCCTGTGCTATAGCGCAGCACTGCGGTGCGTTGCGCTGAGCTGCCGGCTGGCGGCGCGCTGCTCTTTGCTGCAGGAAAGGGGGAGAGGGAGGCGGCTCGTCGCTCTGCGCTCCTCTCCCGTTCTTCGATCGGGGATAAATGCCATGAAAATATTGGATGGGGTCACCTTTTCCTCCCCCCTTTTTGCTGATCTTTGCAAGCTGTGTGTTCGTATCCGTTTATTGATTAATCTATACGTCTCTGTCGGCCTATTCATTTGTCTGTCTAGCGCATCTGAAAGAGCCACTCGTGAGGGTTTTCTGCTTCTTTGTTTGAATTTTCCCGCAGCCTGCATGAAGTGCAGCGTCTGGGGAATATGTTTGTATGCCACATAGTACCCTTTCTGCTATGTAAACATTTTTAGTCTTCATACACACTGCTGCAGTTAAGCGATTCTCAGATAATCAGCAGACTGGAAATTAATCGGTCGATCAATAAATGGAAACCTGTGTAAAATATAACTGTATTTAAATGTGTGTACGCATGTTTATGAGTGACTGTGAATGTTTGCATTATGTGTATTCATGTAGATTACCTTTACATTTATTTATTTTATCCTAAGTTTACCCTGCTATCCAAAGAATTATGAACCCATGACCTTCCAGATAATCTTTAACTCCCAGAACCACACACTGCCCCCAGTATCCATATGTATTAGTATTTATGATTTCTGTGTATGGTTATGTGTGTGCATAAATTTACATTAATTTGTATGAAGATGTATCTAGTGTAGAGTAGGTACTCGTTGAGTTTCACAGAATCACACTTTAATTGAATTGGTTGTTTAAGTGAATTTGTACTTACTTGATCTATGGACAGATTCTGTGGTGAGACATTTATACCCATATGTCTGCCTGTGCTTGTGTACATTGATCCGTTTGTCTGTCTATATTCAGGTTCATAAACCCACATTTTGGCCTGCTTGCCTGTGTTCAGGTTATGTGTCCACGTGTCCTCCTATCTCTTTGTTCAGGCTTATGTCTGTCTGTGTTCAAATTTGTCTACCTACCTGATGACTGAGTCACCTGCAAAAGGTTCTGTGAGTGATGCAGCTGCAGAATGAATGCGTATATGGTTCTATGGGTGATGTAGCTGCTAAATGGTTCTTTGTAGGATTCTGTGAATGACTATGTTGCTGAATGGATATTTATAAGATTCTATGAATGATGCAGCTGTTAAACAGATCATGGTAAAGTTTTGTGAGTGACAGCTGCTGAACAGATCATGAAAATGTTCTGTGAGTGATATAGCTGCTGAACGGATCATTATAAGGTTCTGTGAGTGATGCAGCTACTGAATGGTTCTTTATTGGGTTCTGTGAGTGACTCAGCTACTGAATGGATCTTTATGAGGTTATGTGAGGGACATACATGCCGAATGATTTTTAATTAGCTTCTGTGAATGACTCTGATGCCGAACGGATCTTTAAATGCTTCTGTGAGTGATGTGGCTGCCGAATGGATCTTTACATGGTTCTGTGAGTGATACTGCTGCTGAATGGTTATTTATAAGGTTCTGTGAGTGACTTAGCTACTGAGTTATTCTTTTTGAGGTTATGTGAGTGACACAGGTGCTGAATGGTTCTTTATAAGCTTTGCTGAATGACTCAGATGCCAAATGGATTTTTATATACTTCAGTGAGTCATGTGGCTGCTGAACGGATCTTTATATGGTTCTGTGAGTGTCTGTCATGCTAAATTGATCCTTATACGGTTCTGTGAGTGATTCTACTGCTGACCAGATTTTTATAATGCTTTGTGACTGGCACAACTGCTGCATGGATAATTGAATGGTTCTGTGAGTGATGCAGCTGCTAAATTGATTTTTTTAAGGTTCTGTGAGTAACTCTGCTGCCAAACAGGTCTGTATAAGGTTCTGTGAATGACTCAGCTGCTGAACAGATCTTTAGAAGGGCCTGTGAGTGACTCAACTTCTGAACAGATCTTTAAGATTCTGTGAGTGAAGCAGCTGCTGAGCAGATCTTTATAAGGTTCTGTGAGTGACGGAGTTGCTACGACTAAGAGCACTGATATCCTGCTGAGTGGTGTTGAATCCAAGCAGGACTCCAGCTCCTACACACACAAACACACAGTTTTCACTATGCTGGGACTGGACCTACTGTGTCCTCTTTATGCCACAAATGCGCCAAATTAGTGCTTACTACAGCGAGTGAGTAGACATCATTGAGAGGTGCTTTTTCACAGTGTAAAATAGTTGGCACAGAGTTGGCACAAGCTCATATTGTGTGAATGGTTAGCACCTGATTCCCTGACTGGCTTTTACTCAATGAGGTGTCTGCACTAAAATAGCCTGAGTCACCAGAGCCAGTCCCTCTGCAGCTGGAATCTGTGTCACCTGTGTGGCACCTTGGCCTGGAAGCTGCTCTGTTTGTCACACACAGCCTATATCATCCACAGCTGGTATTTATATTTAGGGCAGCACTATATATGAGCGTCTGTGCATGAAGATGGAGGCAGTATGGACTGGTTAACTGGGAATGATGATGGAATTATGATGGAGAGATGGCTGGGTGTAGGATAGGATGATGATTGATGGAGGATCTGGATGTACCCGCCATGTTGCACCTTCACTCCTGTCCACTGCCATCACACTCTCCATCCTTTCTGTCTTTCCTCACCATCCTTTTTCTCTAAATACATTACCTTCACTCTCAATGTCCTTAGTGCTTCCTTGTCAATTGTGGGTTACAGTGATGCTGTGTCAGTCCTCCAGGTGGCGCTGTGCACTTGTTACCACATACCTTGGTGCATTCATTCTCCACGCTTGTGGTTGTAGGGGGCTCAGATGGTATGTGCTGACGGACACCCAGGAAAAAGAACATTTCAGCATCTGCAGTACTGGGGACCCTGCAATGAGCACCCCTGCATTTCTCAGTACAGTGAGCTGCTGCATTTTCACAGAGACATTCAGCACTGCAGGGCTCCTGCATCACAAACCTGTGACCCTGCAGTGCTCCCCAA